TTTGAGATGACTGGGAGAGCTTCCGCCACGAACAGCTCTGTCAGGGGAGTCCTGTGGTCGTATATTGCATCCAGAGTGAACTCCTCCAGGGTGTTGTAGCGCTTGAGCGACACTCTGGACTCCGCAACGGTGACCCCCAAATCGGCATGCTGAGGCTCCCTCACCCTGACGACCGTGCGCATGCAGCATCTCTCCATGGCGTCTGTGTCTCTACAATCTGGTTTCTGATAGCAGAAACATCTCATAAAGTTACCGTTATGACCATTACCGTTACCGTTAGATGACGCCAACGACAGCTCAGCAAAATGTTCGGTCGATGGTCACCGTCGATAGGCTATGGGAACCCTAAGGAACCCTAAATTCTGAAGCTCTCCCTAATTTCAACTCCAGTGCTCCTAACGACATGGCGCCCTGTGCAGCCCTTGCGGACTTACCAGACGGCATCTGGGGAGACATTCTCCTGCGATGTAGTCCCTGCGACGCAATCAGCCTGGCGCGTGTCGACAAGAAGGCGTGGAGTTGTTTTCGTCGACTCCGGAAGCAGATCATCACGGACTTCGTACGGGAGAGTGTGGTGTCCGCCCCCGTCACAACGAGTGGTGTGGATCTCAATCAGGTACAGGATGAGGAAGACCTGGTCAACTGTTGCAGCGCAGATTTCCGCTTCTCAACGCTTCAGCAGTCGAGGTTGCGCCGCATCCTGCGACAGGCAAGGTATGATGAAGCTGAGGGTCTGCAGTGCGTCGTGGACGCACTATTTCAGGCAGTAACAGAGAGCGACTTGGCGAGGACGTGGCTAGGTAATCTCACCATCATGGGCGACAGGAAGTGCGATACCATTTCCCGTAGTCTGGGTGTTTTTCTAGAGTTGAGTGCGACGGAGGACCAAGCGTGGCTAGCCGTAGCCGTCGATGTGGACGATCTCCAGTCCCGCTTACTGAGGCGTCTGTCGGTAGAGTGGCACCATCTACCCCCACCGCTCAGGTTTTCGGTAGGATTTCGCCCTGATCATTGGGATGATAAGCATCAGAAGCACGAACTCGGTTGCGACAGCTGGCACGAGATTGCGAGAGAGACGGCTCGTGATGAGTGGGCATGGTATCAGGAAGGCGAGGCCCGAACGCTAGCAGTCGCAGCCGATGGATTTGGCCAGGTCGTGGGTTCATATTTCTGGGAGGAGTACGATCTCTTCTTTGGAAGCCGCTTGAGGTATCCTGGAAATAAGGAACAATGAGCATAGAGTTTAGGGTTTCAGGGTTCGGTAGTGTAGCGAACGGAGGTTGAGTTACATGTTCGTCTCCCCCCTCTTGCTTCATATACCCATATCATCTCTCTACTTAGGAAGCTGTGGATCATGCATGTGTGGTTAAGAGAATGGATGCCTACAGGATGCACTTTGATGGCTCCGCACGGCCAGGGAACCCGGGGTTCGGGGGAGCTGGTGCCGTGATCTATACACCTGATGGTATGCAAGTAGATATATACAAGTACTTGGGTGCTTCTATCACCAACAATGTGGCCGAGTAC